AAAAAAAACAATGAAGAATAGAAACTAAAAAAGTAAAATTCAATCATCTGTTACAATGTTGCAATTGAGAGTTTTTGTGATTGAAGCCGAAAATCTTATGCCAGCAGATTTTTTTTCAAAACAAGCAGATCCTTATGTTAAAGTAACTGTAGGAAAAGAAGTTCATCAAACAACTATTCAGAAAAAAACATTAAATCCACATTGGAAAGAAGAACTTCGATTTACAATAGATTCACATAATTTACCAAGCATAAAATTTGAAGTTTATGATTGGGATAGATTTAAAACTGATGACTTTCTTGGAACATGTCAACTTCCATTAAAAATGCCTATTAATGGAGATGTTTGGTTAAAACTTAGTATTCAAGGAAAAATCCATGTTAAGTTAGAAACATTTAAAGGCATTCAACAATATTACCCTTCATTTCAAAATGGTCAAAATGGAATTGCACTTAAAGTTATGGATGAGTCTACACCAACATTATACCCAACACAACAATTTAATCCTAATTCATTTGGATTACATATTGATAAAAATGAAGCGTCTAAATTCAAACCAAAACGATTCATTAATCCTCAATCAGATTCACATGTTTCTTCAACTGAAAATTTCAATATAACTCATCCCTTTGAACAAGAAAATGTTGGGTGCAGTTATTATGCTTTATCATGTGGTAAGTATGTCCAATACTATGGACCTTTACCTTCAGCACCTCCTTAAAGAGCTAGAAAAGTTGGATTTTGTTATTGTTTTGTAATATAATGTTATATATACTAATATTTGAACAATGTTTTTGATAACGGTTTTCTATTTTTGAATAGTTGAACGGAAGAAATAGTTTTTAAAAAAAGAGCATCGAAAGATTTCTATGAAGCATCCAACTAACCCTGGTAAAAAACAAATTTTATATTCTTGTTTTTTCAAACTAGAATAATACTATCTTTTAGTTATGAAATCTAAAAATAAAACATTAATTTGCGAATCTACAAGAAACCCTCAAAGTTAAGAATAGGGAGAACATATAAGCGAAACAAAGGAAACAAACGGGAAATGAAAATAGTTTTGAATGAACCCTAAAATAAAACTCAAAGAGCAAAGAAAGAAGAAACTAAAAACTGAAAGTAGAGAAAAAGAAAAGGGATTAAAATAATGAAGTGAAAAAAAATTAACACCAAGAGATGGAGAAAAGATTTTAAGAGAAAGTGACGTGATATGAATAATAAGAAAGAAGGAAAGGAGAGTATAAGTCTATAAAAGAATAAATCAAGAAAGAGGAAAAACTGAAAGAAAAATCAAATCAGAGTTTTCAAATAAGAAAAAGAAATTTTAAGGGTTTTTTTTTCGTTTTTGGTAATATTTTTTTTGAAGCAAAAAGAGGAAGAAGAAAAGACGAGGGTTGTGTTAAAGTTTAAAAGAAGTGATTAAAGAGAATTCCCAATAATAAAAAGAATTATAATAACAAAATGTTCAAACCAGTTAGATATACCACTGTCAACAATATCAAAGAAAGTGGAATTTGTGAAATGGCAACAATTAGATATTGTGAGGTTTTAAAAGAAACAAATCCACAACTTATTCTTCCAACAATTAAAAGACCATTAACATTTCCTTCAATTCCAACACATAATAATGGACTTGATAATGAAGGATATGAATATATTGCTTATGCAGATGGATTAATTGGATCAGCATATTCTAGAGAAGGGAATTCATGTGCTTTTAATAAAAACTCAACATATCGGATTATTTCATCATTAGGAAAAGGAACTTTTGGACAAGTACTAAAATGTGAAAATCTTTATAATCATCAAATTGTTGCAATTAAAGTATTAAAAAATAAACCATGTTATTTTCGACAAGGAATGCTTGAAATTGCCATGTTACATGCAGCAAATTTACATAATCAAAATAATGATAAACATATTGTTAGAATATTAGATCATTTTTTATTTAATAGACATATATGTATTGTATTTGAGTTATTAGGAATGAATTTATATGATGTATTAAGAACAAATAAAAATAAGGGAATGGGATTTTCTTTTACTCAGACTATCGGTTATCAAATTCTTCAAGCCCTTTTTACATTGAAAAGAGAATCAGTTATTCATTGTGATTTAAAGCCAGAAAATATTTTATTAATTGATAATAGATCAACTATTAAAGTAATAGATTTAGGAAGTGCTTGTTTTGAAGGAAGTACTCTTTATACATATATTCAATCAAGACATTATAGAGCACCA